AATAGATAGAATACAGATAATACTGTAGATATATAATAGATGATAGACAGATAATAGAGCTATAGATATGATAGCCAAATTAGATAAAATAGAGGTAGATAGAATAGATATAATAGATAATTAGATAGAATAGAGATAATTAATATATAGAATAAATAGATATAATAGATAATTAAGATAGAGCTACATATATTAGATCAGAGCTAGATATAATAAACAGATAATAGATAGAATAGATAGAATACAGATAATAGATATATAATAGATGATAGACAGATAGTAGAGCTAGATAGATATAATAGCCACATAATAGAGCTAGATAGATAAAATAGATATAATAGAAAACATATAATAGAGCTAGACAGGTAGATGTGAGGAAACCGCCCCCTTTTCAACAATGGACTTATAAGTAAATGAATATAAGCAAGCAAATAAAGACCTTCTCCCTTTTCATAGCAGTAGACTTGGGCTCCTAAAGGCCGCCTGGTGGGACGGGGAGGAGGAGGAGGAGGGGGCGGCAGCTCAGGGAAGGCAGCTCTGAGGGGGCTGGACGGGGGCGGGGGGTCCCGCGGAAGAAGGATGCAAAAACCGGCTGCAAAATCTCTTCAATTCCAGGGTTGGGACGCTGCGCCCTCCGGTTCCCCCGCGAAATTGTGACTGCCACTGGCTTGACTGGGCTGAAGCCTCCCGAGGAAGGTGACACGCGACGACGAGGAGGAGGAGGAAGAAGAAGCCGGGCTCCCGCTTTCCCCCGCTGGATAAACCTACAGGAAAGCTCGACGTCCCAGGCCGCCGCCGAGCCTGACAGGATTTCCCGCTCCCCGAAGCGCCGACCAATCAGGGAAGCGCACGTGCCCCGCTCAGCCAATCAGCGCCCATCTCCCGTCCGAGCTTTTTTTCCCCCCCTGGAAAAGTGGACCGCGAAGGCGCGTGCGCGGGAGAAGTACGGAGGCCGCCGCGGGACTTCTTGTCCGGTCGGAGCGGGGCTGAGGGGGGAGGGGAGAGGCTCGGGAATGGGCTTCTTTGGTGGGGGGGAGGGGAAAAAACGCGGGCCCGACGGAGCGAGGCGCGGGTAAGGGCGGGGTGGTGGTGGTGTCGCGGGCCTCTCGTTGCCATGGAAACAGCCCCCTCAGACTCTGAGGAGCGTCGTGAAGAGAGGCCCGGAGCGGAACAAGGCCCCAAACCCCGCGCCCCGGTAGCCGCTGAGGGGCATTTCTCCGGGCCTTGCCTGCGAAGGAAGGGCGCTTGGCAGCCGTTAGGCCGGCACGTGCCGCGGCTCCATCTATGGGAGGCCTCTCCTTTTGTCTTATTTTTTGGGAGGGGGGTTTCCTAGGCTTCGGGGTGGGGAGCGCCCAACAATTTGGGGGGGACGCTGAGGGAAAATGAGGGTCTCTCAGGGGATTCTCATGGGGGGGGGGCGGGGCTTGGCAGGATTTGAACGAGGGAACATTGGGGGGGGGGGTATTTTAAAAAAAACCCCACCCTAAATGCAGGCTGTCCTCGACTTACGACCGCAGTTGAGCCCAAATTTCCCATGGCTAAGATGGAGTAAGGTTTCCCCCCCCATTTTACGACCTTCCTTGCCGTGGTTGTTAAGCGAGTCACGTGGTTGTTAAACGAATCTGGCTTTCCCATTGTCTTTGCTTGTGGGAAGGTCACCAAAGGATCACGTGACACACCCCCACCCCACCTGGGAGGCTGTGACCGTCGTAAATACGAGTCACCTGAATTTTGATCAGGGGACCGTGAGGAGGCTGCGACGGTCGTAAGTGTGAAAAATGTCTGAAATGATAAAAGGGTCTCCTGCCTGAGCAGGGGGTTGGACTAGAAGACCTCTAAGGTCCCTTCCAACTCTGTCATTCTATGATTCTGTAAGGGTCTTCCTGCTTTTAGCAGGGGGCTGGACTAGAAGAACTCCAAGGTCCCTTTCAGCTCTCATTCTATCATTCTGTCTCCTGCCTGAGCAGGGGGTTGGACTGGAAGACCTCTGGGGTCCCTTCCAACTCTGTTATTCTGTACCACTGTTCTGTATGGCTGCAAGTTAAGGATACCTGTATTTCTTTGCAAGTTTCTCTGACCTTTCCTCACCTGCAGGATTGGTTGGTTGCAAGTTTATTTTTTGTCTTTTCTACTTTAATTTGTTTCTTTTAATTTCTCACATTTTTTTAATCCACCACCTCCCTCCCTCACAGAGGGAAAGGCATCATATCTGGTCCATAGACTGTGGATTGTGCATTATTTTACTGCCACACTGTGCCAGGTTTAAAAGTACCTCCGTACTAAGTTTGCCAGAAAACTGAAGCATATACAGATGGTCCCTGACTTACGACCGCAATGGAGGCCAAAATTTCTGTTGCCAAGCGAGACAATTGTTAAGTGAGTTTTGCCCCGTTTCATGACCTTTTTTTGCCAGAGTTGTTGAGTGACTCGCTGCAGTTGTTATGTGACACAGTCATTAAGTGAATCTGCCTTCCCAATTGACTTCGCTTGTCGGAAGGTCACAAAAGGGATCATGTGACCCCAGGACACAGCAATCGTCATAGATATGAGTCAGTTGCCAAGTGTGTGAATTTTGATCACTCAGCCATGGGGATAAAAAAAGTGACTTATCGTTTTTCACACTTAAGACCGTTCCAAGATCCCCCTGGTCACGTGATCAGAATTCAGATGCTTAGCAACTGACTCACATTTATGACAGTTGCAGTGTCCCAGAGTCATGCGATCATTTAACAACTGTCTTGCTTAGCAACAGAAATTTTAGGCTCAAAATCGAGGATTTACCCATAGTTTTTACTTTTATGTCACTGTGGTTGTTACGTGGATCACATGGTGGTTAAGCAAATGCAACACAGTCAATGAGCATTTGCTGTTTTCTGCAGAGCGAGGAATCTGGTACATGGGATCCTTTGTTGTAGTAAATGTTGAGGGGCCAGGACTGGGCCAGGCCCAGGAACCAATGTCAGCCCTTTGTTCTTTTGCACAGACTTTGATGGAGGCATTCTTAGGATAATTAGTTGACAATTGGGCATTTAAGTTTGGCTCTGACTTGAGGCAGATGAACTCAGACTCACATATCAGAGAATGGATCTGGTTCCTCTTTGCATCTTATTTTCTTTCTTATTTCCTGTGAGGATCCGTTTAAGGTTGGCTGGCTGGTTGGCTGTGTGTCTGGTGTGGTTGCCGTCTATTAATAATGCATTTGAATGTCTCAGGCTGTGGATTTCTAGGTGTCAGGAGAGGTGTTAGCTGATTCTGTTTCTGTGAACTGTCTTTTAATAGGTCCTCTCTAGGGATAGATCTGGCTCTGTTGATTTGTCTCTTGATTGGACTAGATGGGTCAGTCTGTCTTCTGAATGCCTCCCAAATGCCTGAATTCCCTCAGTTGAGCATCTCGGTCAGGTCGGTCAGAATACACAGGTAGTCCTCAACTTATAACCACAATTGAACCCAACATTTCAATTTCATTTCAGGAGCCTCTGTGTTGCAGTGGTTAGAGTGCAGCACTGCCAGCTACTTCTGCTGCAGCCAGCTGCCTACAATTTGGCAGTTCAAATCCCACCAGGCTCAAGATTGACTCAGCCTTCCATCCTTCTGAGGTGGGTAAAATGAGGACCCAGATTGTTGGGAGCAATAGGCTGACTCTGTAAACCACTTAGAGAGGCCTGTAAAGCACTATAAAGTGGTATATAATTCTAAGTGCTATTGCTATTTCTGTTTAGTGAGACATTTTTTAAGGGAGTCTCCCCCCCCCCATTTTACGACCTTTCTTGCCACAGTTGTTAAGTGAATCACGGCAGTTGATAAGTTAGTAACCTGGTTGTTAAGTGAATCTGGCTTCCCTATTGACTTTGCTTGTCCGAATATCGCAAAAGCAGATCATGTGACCTTGGGAAACAGCAATTGGCTGTAAGTATGAACCGGTTGCTAAGCGTGTGAATTTTGATCACATGATCATGGGGATGCTCAAAGGTCATAACAAAAACAGCCCTAAGCCACTTTTTTCAGTGCCTTTGTAACTTTAAAAGGTCACTAAATGAACTGTTGTAAGTTGAGGACTACCTGTATCTCTGTCAGGTCAGTCAGAATATATAGGGTTGAACCTAGCTGTAGATGATGCCGTAAATAAGATGATGTGTTTCCGGGTGGAAGCTGCAAACATACAGTCTGGAGATTTCTCATATTCTATAATATTTTCATATACCTAACATGGTAGTTTTACCCAAACACCAAGGAAGCGGACCTCTCTTTACCTCAGAGGTGTCCAACTTTGGCAACTTTAAGACCTGTGGACTTCAGAATTCCCCAGCCAATGGGGACATTTGCAAACTACTGTATGTTTCTAACCACGGATTGTCAGAAATAGTTCATTAATTACTTCTAAGTAGACTGGCTGGGGAATTTTGAAAGTTGAAGTCCACAACTCCTATAAAATTGCCAGTACTATTTACATGGCTGGGAAGAAATTGCTGAAGACATGATAGAATTTGATCTTTATGTATCATGAGTGAATCTCGAGTAAAGGAGGGATTTTAGATGATGGGAATTGAGAAAGCCATTGTTCTTAGTCAGTCTTGAAAATACTGGCATATTATCTTACGCCAGGCATAAAAGTCAGCTAGGTGACTTTGGGCCAGTACTCCTTTCTCAGCACAGTCTTCAGGATTGTTGTTGTGGGGAAACTAGGAGCAGGCATCTTAGATATGTTTGCATTATGCATTATAAGGGGCTGAATATAGGTCAATGGCTGTGCCACTGATTTGGTGCATATTATTGCCAGATGATGTAATGGCTTCTGGAGGAGGTATGGAAAACTGAAGGCAGATTTGATGACCACGGCAAAAAGACCAAGAAACTAATGAATAGACCAGTTCTTTGGCACCTCTCCAGGTAAGGAAAGGAGAGGAGACCACAGGACAACAGTGTTTTCTGGGTCTGAGCACTGGGAGAAGTGGAATTAACCATCTTGCTCACAACCACACAAGGGCCTTATAAAAGATACATTTGCAAACCTCCTTTTCTAATCACTGATCACTAGAAATAGCTCATTAATTATTTTTAAATTATTAGGGATCTTGGCATGACAGGTGTGAAAATGATAGGAGACTCTAGATCTTTAATCCTGAGTGAAAGAAAACCATAAGCTTAAGATTTTAAAGAATCTGATATAAACAAAAAACCATAGAAGATTTTTGATCTTAAAAAGTGGACTAAGGGTACAGGTAAAATTGAAACTTAAGCTGAAAAAATGTTTTTGGAATTCATTATAAAGCACCGCTTGTTCTGTTTTGGTTTTCACAAAACATAACATGGAGGTATACTTTCATGATTTAAAAAATGAGATACTAGAAGGAAGTAAAGATTTTTAGTAGAGGAAAATGCACAAGCCTGCAACATGTTACAGCAATAAAAATATTGAAGACTTTTGAAGAATGAAATCAGAGAATAATAGTCAAGGTATCAACAATCTGAGTAGTGATGTCTGCTTCTGTGATTAGTCTGTGTCCAAAATATGTCATTAAAGAAATGTCAGGTGTAGAACAAATTTTATCTGAGAAGAGGTGGTATCAAAAGTGGATTTACAACTGGCAAGCCAAACGTAATTGACTTAGGTAATTTTTTCCTTAATGGATTTATAAAAGAGACTTTTATAAGAGCCTTGGAATGCTCTGTGTGATGGGACAAAGAAGAAATGAAAAGAAATAAAATATGGCAATATTTGAATAAATATTAAGAATGTAAAATGCAAAAGAAAGGAATATAAAGTTACTTTATTTGATCAAGGTAAAGATATGTTACTACTTCTAGCTACACTTTCTAATCTAGGCTATCTGCTGGCACCAGGACTGAAAAGATGATGTGGATTTGTTTATAGACACATGAAAAGATAAATATAATTTTAGAGAGTATAAACCCGCGATGGCGAATCTATGGCATGCATGCCACCTGTGCCATTTGTGTCAACATGCGAGCCGCAGGCAAACTACCTCACTGCGCATGCATGTGTGCCTCACAGCTGATTTTCGGCCTGTTTGAGGCCAGTTTGGTCACTTCCTGTATTTCTGGAAATACCAGAAGTGACAAAACGGGCCCATTTTTTTGGCCTGCAAAAGCTGCAGAAGCTTTCCTCAAGCCTCTGGGAGGCTGAAAAAGGCCTCAAATGGGCCGAAAATCAGCTGGGAGGTGCAGTGCAGATAAGGGGGTGTGTGTGGGTGGGCGCGCACATTGCCTTCTGGGTGCTGGCATGCAAGCGCATGCACAGTTTTTGGCACAGGAGCCCAAAAAGGTTAGCCACCACTGGTATAAACAGTACTAACTTTGTTTATATTTAGGATGAAGATTGGAAGTCATTCTACACCTTTTTCCTTATTAGAGTCATTTCACTTGCACTTTTTACTCTTTTTTCCTTTTAGTTTGAATTAGATTTTATCTTATAATCGAAATTTTTAGCAACGGTGAAGTAGTTCTCATCGGCAAAGAGAAACTCAGTCACTGTACAGACTCACATTGGTGAGCATAAACTCACACGTGCCATACTGTGTTGACATTAATGGGGATGATCCTGACGGCTTGAAGCCCATATTTGTGAGAAGGTGGTTGTATGACACTTCACCATCCATGGCAGCTAAGTGATTATATCCCAGGGGTGGTCAATAGATTTCAGTCTTCTTTGGAAATCTCTGGTGTCTCTTAGGAGAGTGCTGGTGACATAAGATCTGGGAAGAGTTGCTTGGCCTCAGCTTCTTTGATTATGATGTCATGGTGAGTCTCTTGAGGCCTTGGATGGCATCTGGCTGCGCTCTGCTGAGATTGTTATGTAAGATTTTTCCCCCCATTGATGATTGTGTCTTGAGGTTGCTGGCAAAAGCACTCAGTATCGAAATCCAGTTCACTGTTACATCCATCAAGGGGTGGGGTCCATGATTTTTTTAGGATTTGATGAGCAGTTGCATCCCGGATTATGAGGGCTATATCTCTGAGCCTGGTTTCTTTTGTTAAAAGTATTTCTTCAATCTCACATCTTCAAGTCCCCAGAGAATTGCATATTTTTGGTGGGTTGGGAGGAGGAGGAGAGAGAAGCATCATCCACAAACAGACCCTCCAGCTTGGTGGGGTCTGTAGCTGAATGGGGTTCACAATATTTGGGGGTAAATCTGTGGAGTCCTCCAACTACATTGAGTGCATATAAACTTGGACTGCTTGTTTTCTTTCACCCATAGTTTAATATTGCTCTCCAGCTACAACTTTAACTAAGAAGACATTTCAACTTAATAATCAGGGTAAGGAAATATATGATGGCTCTTCTGTGAGGAATCCTTGTTGCCCTCTGAGCTTGGTTGTGTTCCTCCAGACGTTTCATTACCCAACCAGGAAGCATCATCAGTGCTAGTAAGGAGTGAGGTTTGCATTCTGTTTATATGCTACTGGCTTGCCCTGTCAATGTTGGCATTTCCTTGATTAGGCTGTTTACTATGGACTTGTTTATTTGCCTTGGTAGTACCTTGATTGGGGTTTCCTTCTTGATGGTTTATCTAGTGTTAATCTTGGTGCTAACCTGCTCATATAATTGCATCTGATTGCTGGTGGGGAGATAGTTTTGGCCATTTTGTTCCAGTTTTTGGCTTGTGGCTGGTTTCTTTCACATATTCTGTGGATATTATTTATGTCTGTGTATCTATTTGTGGTCGATTGTTAATTCCCTAACATTTTTGGATTTGGCTTATGGTCACAACTTCCCAGTTGAAACTATGGTTAAATTTGTCCATAGGTTGTGCAATTAAAGAGTTTTTATCACGTCTTCTGACTGCTAGTTGGTGCTCATTTCATCAAGGCGAAAGTGGTAGAGATAAAAGGAAAGAGGAGAGGAATTGTGTAGAGAGGCTTTTTTTGTTCTTCCTAATTCAGACTAGCAGTTTAAGCAATGACAATGCTTTATAAAATAATTGTCCTCATTTTCTGAGGGTAAAGTGGCATTTCAGCTTGTTGAAGAATCTTTGGTCAAATGTAATAAGTTTTATATGTTAAACCTGTGCATTGGTTAAATGGAGCTTTCTCTTAGGTAAGAATAAGAGGTGATATCCTGTTTCTCCTTCCTGCCTCTCCCAGAAGGACCATCCTCTCAATTCAGTGGAAATAATGCGAATCACTAGCCTTAATAACCAAACCCAATTTTCCATCCCCACCCAGACTGTTCTTTGTTGTTATCGGGGATAGGTGGGTAGATTTATATTCTGCCTCTTCTCAAGACACAACTATTTACGGGTTAGCCAGCTGCAAAATGCTGTGTGGGATTACAGGTCCCTCTGAGACTGTCTAGCTGAGGTTGTCTCCCCCTCCCTTTTTGACAAGACCAGGGTCTTTTTAGGTCACTGAGCAAAAAAAAAAAATAGCTGTTGCTTCATCCAGCCATGGGATGAACAAGTTATGGAGCCCAGTCACATTTGTTTGAAATAAAGTTGCACCTCTTTAAGGCTAAAATTCTTTGGGAGTTTTATGCACAAAGTACATCCCATTGAAATAAAGAGAAAAAAATAACTCTTGATGATCAACTACATATTACACAATTACATACGTCAACATTAATGTAACAATAATGTTAAGTGTTAACAGTCATTTCAAAAGTAGGAATTCAGAGGCAGCTTAATGCTGCAACACTTTATGAAGATCAAAATGGCTTTATAAGAGCCTTTAAGAAGGCTGGCCATCATCTACCACTTTAAAGGAATAAAGCATAATTGGAACGCTGCTACAATGGAGCACAGATTGTTCTCTTGAAACCACTCGCTGTATTGCAAGCCAAAGAAATGCTTCCTCCTGAATCATTTAAAATAGCTCCTGACATTCTCCCCCCCCCCCCCCCTTATAGCAATAGCACTTAGACTTATATGCCGCTTTATAGTGCTTTCCAGCCCTCTCTAAGCAGTTTACAGAGTCAGCCTATTGCTCCCAACAATTTGGGTCCTCATTTTGCCCACCTGGGGAAGGACGGAAGGCTGAGTCAACCTTGAGCCTGGTGAGATTCGAACTGCCAAATTGCAGGCAGCTTGCAGTACTGCACTCTAACCACTGTGCCACAGAGGCTCCTAATTATAGCCATACTTCTGGTCAGGCAAGTATCTACAAAATACAGGTAATCCTTGACTTATAACCATTCATTTAGTGACCATTCCAAGTTACAATGGCACTGAAAAAAGTGACCTATGACTGTTCTTCACACTAGAGACCATTGCAACATCCCCCCACGATCATGTGTTCAAAATTCAGAGGCTTGGCAACTAACTCATATTTATGACGGTTGCAATGTCCCCAGGTCACAGGATCACCTTTAGCGACCTGACAAGCAATGTCAACGGGGAAGCCAGATTTTGTCACTAGCTTAACAAGTGCAGTGATTCACTTAACAACTATGGAAAGAAAGGTCATAAAATGGGGCAAAACTATTTAACAACTGTCTTACTTAGCAACAGAAATTTTGGGGTCAATTCTAATTGTGAGTAGAGGATTATCTGTATATCTACGGAGATTCTCATAGACATATCTGCTGTCTTACCTGTGTGCCTGCTCCTAGGATAGGGATAGGATAGGATAGAATAGAATAGAATAGAATAGAATAGAATAGAATAGAATAGAATAGAATAGAATAGAATAGAATTCTTTATTGGTCAAATGTGATTGGACACACAAGGAATTTGTCTTTGGTGTAGAAGCTCTCAGTGTACATAAAAATACATCATGAATCATAAGATACAACACAGTGATAATCATAGGATACCAAATTAAGCAATCAAATCATACTAGGAAACTAAAACAATAGAAATAGTAAAGATACAAGCAACAAGGTTATAGTCATAAGTAGGAGGAGATGGGTAATAGAAAGGATGAGAAGAAGAATAGTAATACTGTCTTGGTAAATAGTTTGACAGTGTTGTGGGAATTAGTTGTTAGCAGAGTGATGGCATGCAGAAAAAACTGTCCTTGTGTCTAGTCGTTCTGTGTGCAATGCCCTATAACATCGTTTTGAGGGTAGAAGTTGAAACCATTTATGTCCAGGATGTGAGGGGTCTGTAAAAGCTCCATTAATTTGTTAGTTATGCTCGTGTTTTTCTGCCTCAGATTTAGTCATGGAGGAATCCGAAGAGAAGCGTTTTGAAGAGGATACAATATAGAAAAGCTGCATCTCCTGAGGAACTCATTTTGGATAGCTCTGCCGATCCAGTCAGAAGAAAAAGCAGAAATCAGTTGGAAGTGCTGAATTTGCTTTTTTTGATATAGTGGGAATCCGTGACCACCTTTCCCCAAAGAGATATTAGAGTGTCATCAGAGCAGCTATCTCTGGAGAAAAAAAATCCCTTCTCTTATCTCAAGACATCAGAAAACTTCCAGGACCTGTAAGTCTGTAAAAGGGGATCATTTATCATAGAGTTTCATCTCTTGGAGGACCCAAAAGGCATATAATCCAGATTTAACTAGGCAGGGATTTCATGTGCTTTTCTTCCGTTGCGGTCAGTGGAATGTGATTGAAATGCCGGCTGGCTTCAAGCCCTTCCTTAACTTTGACAAGAGTGAGGCTTGTGGCCCTTTCAGGATTGTTTATCTGCCATCAAGTCATTGTCAACTTTTAGTGTGCACATAGTTATTCTCCATGACAGTCAGTCCCTCACAGTAGGAGGAGTGGCAAAACTTGGAGGCAGAGTATAAAGAGGAATCAGCCTCGAATCCCTACATAGCCACAAGCGGACTCAATCTAACCTTTTTTGACTGCCATTGACCATTCCTTCTTTGCAGGAATGTTGTGGCTTTTGTTTATAAAGTGCATTATGTATGTCAATTTCTCATTAGATGTTTCTTGAAACTGAAGGTTTGAACACTTAGATGAATGTTTTTTGAGACAGACTGCAGAGAAAGTATCTAGTAATATTATTCTTTCCCATAGCAAACTTCTGGCTCGCAGCCCCTCCATCCAGTTGCTGCCATGTATTCCCTGGTCTTCCTCTGTGCCCAGAAGGTTGTCTCTCACTACACAACTCTGCAAGAGGCCCTGGGCTTCCTCCCAAAGGAGCTGTATCCCGTCCTATTCAAGGCTGCCTTCATGGATAAGAGAACTCCGTCGCTCCAGCAATTGGTGCAGACCTGGCCATTCCCTGTCCTCAGTTTCCAGAAACTCTTGCGCAAATGTCAGCATTGTGAACGGGCCCTGATCCGGGAGAAACCAAACAAGTTGTGCATTCAGGCCATTATTTTGGGAGTGGTGACGTACCTCATGAAGATGCTGGAGGATCGAAAGGGTAGTAAGAGGTATGTGTACCCCTTCCTTCTTTTCTCTTGTCTTCCTAAATGAAGCACACAGAATGTGCATCTCCACCGAGGCCAGAAAAATAAAGGCAGTCCTTGACTTGCAACAGCTCAGCGAGTGGCCATTCAAAGTGTCATAAAAATAATTCCAGTAAAAGAAACAGGAAACAGCAATACAATAAACAATTCTTACGTTAAGATTCAGAGGTTTTATTTCATGAGCAATTTGGAGCATAAACGAGCCCTCGTAACACAACTTCTATCAATACCCCATTGCCACGAGGTGGTCCATGACATAGCTGAGTCCAGCAAGGAACAGCTACATAGCTGGTGGTCCTGAACTCAGAGCCCAAGACATTATTTTGATACTTTTCTGCCTGCAGTTTCACAACTTAAACTTCCTTGTCTTTCCTTCAGACAGACCGTCTCCACATACACCCCTGGACATCTCAAACCTCTCTCCCTCGGCTGCTTTCAGTTCCTTATTTCTTGCGGTTTTCAAAACTGCGTACTTTGCACAATCACATTTCATAGCAACAGCTCCGCAGGATTAGAAATAGTTCTGATACACTTTGAAATCTTTCTTGTCTAAAACTTTGGTTCATGTAGCTTTTTTGGGAGGGCCTGCTATCCTTCTGAGACCTATGGACTCTGGTGCTCCAATAGGCTATTTTTCTGCTCCTCACAAAAAGTTACAAAGGCACTGGAAAAAGTGACTTAAGGCCATTTTTCACACTTACGACCTTTGCAACAGCCCAATGGTCAATTCAGATATTTGGTAACTCACTCATAATTATGACAGTTGCAGTGCCTGACGAGCAAAGTCAACAAGGAAGCCAGATTCACTTAGCAATTGTGTGACTAACTTTAACAATTGCAGTGATTCACTTTAACAACTGTGGCAAGAAAGGTCATAAAATGGGGGAAAATATCACTTAACCGTTGTTTTGCTTAGCAACAGGAATGTTGGGCTCAATTGTGTTGTAAGTCAAGGACTACCTGTATTAAAACCAGGATTCCCTAGAATTTCTAAATTTGTGATGCATCTCACCTGGCTTTTTCATTTTAAGTTGTATCCCACACTTAAACTTTTCTCCAGCCTTTTTAAGACTTGTTGACCCTCTTATCTATCTGGAAGGTCATTTTTCATTACTAGCGATTCCTACACATTGCTGTTAAAACCTTTGCATGTGAAGATAAAGATCGGATTCTCACGCCTTAGGTTCATTTTATTTGCCCGGTCACTACCTTGGATCCTTTGCCCTAAGATGCCCAGAATACCAAGTTGTACACCAGGAGTCCCCAAACTTGGCAACTTTAAGACTTGTGGACTTTAACTCCCAGAATTCTCCAGCCAGCTATGCTGGCTGGAGAATTCTGGGAGTTGAAGTCCACAAGTCTTAAAGTTGCCAAGTTTGGGGACCCCCTGCTGTATTTAATAAGTCAGTCCAGTAGTAACGCTATTTTTCTCCAGGGATGCTGGAAACACTTTAAGAAAAGATCACAGCGAGCACAAAGGAATCCTATTTTGTTTCTAGTCCCATCGGAACACTATTATTTAGGCTTGTGCAAAGGGTGACCTCTAGGAAGGCAGACCAGTCAACTCTGTGGTCAGCTGGAGGAATGCTGATGAACTCTGTTCTTGCCGCTGCTACCGCTGCTCTCACTGTTTTGCCAGTTTCAGGTGTGGCTTGGTCCAGGTATTTACCTCAATAAGCTTTACATGTTTACTCAGCTGAATAAAGACAGACCTCCCTTAGCAAAGGAGAACCTTGACACTCTTTATTCATACGTTTGCTACCTTGTCCACTTCTCCACCCAGAAGCATTGGCCCACCCCACCCAGACAAGCTGGCACACTCTAGATCAGGGGTGATCAAACTCACGTCGTCACGTGACGTATCACAACTTCTTTCCCCCTTTGCTAAACCGGGGGGGGGGGGGTTTGGCCAGCACGTGACGCATCCACTCCGCGTCCTGCGAGTTTGACACTCCTAGTTTAAAATAAGTATAGAAATAGCCACCCACCACTCTTGGAGGACCTCCAAAGGACACAGAGTGTCATCTCAGGGACTTGGGGTGTTTCCTGAAGAACCTTGCAGGACCTCGAAGGCCTGCAGAGGCAAGGGTGACATCGGCACCTATGCTCCTTCCTCAAGACTTTCAATAGAACACCTTAGATTCCTGGTCAACCTAATGTCAGCTTTGGAAGCCAAATTGAGATCTGAGGCCACAATGGAGCCTGGGAAAGTGGGAGGGGGGAATTCATTGGAGTAGATCTAGTTAGACATAATAAAATTCTTTTTCTGATTCAAGGTCAGGTTGTGTTGCACCTAAGTGAGGGGAAGTCTCAAGTTGGGACAGATGATGATTGGACCATGTGATGTGATGATGGGTGCAGGGAATGGATTTTGTAGTTTTTGCTTATTGCAAGGAAGCCCGAAACTTTCAGATTCGGGATTCCCCAGTTGGGCCAGTTACTATCCAAATAAAAAGGAACTTTTGAGAGACGTCTGTCTCAGAGTTATTGGGTGGAATGGAGGTTTGCTGGAAAGCTGACCCCTAACGGTTTTCTTTTGTCGCTCCTCCGGCCAGCAAGGGGCAGCGTTTGCAGATCCTGGACATGACAGGCCTCCAGGACGAAGGGCATGGCCCCGAGAGCATGAGCCTGTGGTCCCGGACGGTCACGCTGGCCAAGGCTTGCCTGGACGTCTCCAAGCAGCAGAGCAAGTGCCTGAAGCGCTCCTCCAAGCGGAGGAAGGGCCCCTACAGCAGCTCAGTGGCCCTGCCGGCACCGCAGCCTGTGTCCGTGGATGTCTGGGTGGACCTTTTTGTCAACAGCACCTCCTACGTGGTGCTGAAAGACGCCCTGCAGATCAACAGCGGCAACGCCCTGCGCCTGCGCTGCCGGGACTTCCGGGCAGAGGAGCTGTCCATCGCCAGCACCGTGGGGCTGCTGGAGTTCCTAGACCCCGCTGGGGTCCGGCAGGTGGACCTGCGGTTCAACAACCTCGGGCTCTCTGGCCTCAGGGTGGTCCTGCCGCACCTGACCAAGTTCACCAACCTGGCCAGCCTGAAGCTGCCCTACAGCAACATCGATGTCCGGCGCCTGACGGTGGGCATGGAAGGGAGCCTGCAGTACTTCGCCACCCAGCTCAGCCGCCTCACCTGCCTCAAAGAGCTGAACCTGGGCTCCTCCAGGCTTTCAGGCAAGCTGCGGCAACTCCTGGGGTAAGAGAGCAACAGAGACCGGCGGTCCCCAACCTCTGCGGCTTGGCAGCCCGGATTAGCGGGGGGGGGGGGGGGGGGGGAACCAGGCCTGACACGTACGAACGCGGCTCCCATCCCACGCCAGCATGCCACTCTCACGAGTTGAGCTGCGCATGCACCAGCCCACTTCTCAACGTGGCCCGGTTCCAGATAGGCCACGGCCTGGTAGGAGACAGCAGCCCAGGAGTTGGGGACCCCGACCTAGATCTAGGGACAGATTTACTGGTAGTCAGAACAATGAATCAGAGGAACAGCTTCCCTCCAGAAGTTCCATCCCTGGAGGTTTCCAAGAAGAGACTTGGGCAATCCCTTGTCTGAAATGGGAAAGGGCAGGGGAGTCAAACGCACATCGTCACGTGGTCACGTGATGTATGCTTGAGGAGGGGGTGGGACTAGAAGACCTCCTGGCTCCCCCCCAGCTCTGTTAGTCTGCATTCTGTACAGATCTGGGAAACCTCTTTCTTTTTTTTTTTTTCCTGATAACTTTTTAAATAATTTGTCCAAATATAAAATACAAAGAAAAATGAGAATCATGGGGAAATAAGGAAGGAGAAGGGGAAAAAGCATAGGCCAGGCGTTTGTGGGCTTAAAATGTACTTTTCCCTTGTTTTTTGTTTGTTTAATTCTCTTCTGTATCGCCTTTCACTTCTTAAAAGACCCCTTAAATGGGCGACACACAATCTTGGGCCTTGGCGTAGGGTCAGCCCTCTGATGAAGCCCCAGGGCATGTTTTGAAATGTAATTTTCAGGTTGACCAAAAAGGAGAGGAGAAAACAAGTCATGGTTTGATTCATTACTTCTAACACAAACCCCCAGGCCAATGAAATACATTGTATTTTGCATCCATTTTTTATTTATTTTCATTTTATTACTTAGGGTCAAGTATTTATCTTTTATATTATTTAATTCATATTGCGCATAGGTTTTGTACCGTGTTTCTCCAACAATACGGCCTCCCCCAATAGGAAGTCCCACCATGCTTTATAGGCATAAATAGGTGTGTGTGTGTATGTATAAAGTGAAATTACCACTCACGCGTCATCACGAAATCTCCAGAACCGTAAAGCCTGAAATTTTGAAATTTGGCATGTATGTTCCTCTTGGCTTCTAGGTCCTTGCTAAGAAAGGTTTTTTTCAAAATGACCCTCAGAGCATTACTATTTCCTACATTATTATTAACACGCTCTGATGCTAAGGATTTCTACTCCCCCACCCCACATGAAAAGAAATCTGTTCCAAATGCAAAACCCAAGCAGAGGAGAGGAGTTTCAGTTTCAGTTTCACCGCACCAAGCAGCTTTAGTACAGAACTGTTGAGCTAAGCCACACCCAGGCTCCTTGCTGTCTCCTCCTTGCTCACACAGCAAATACTCTTTCAGTTTCCAAACAGCCTTCAACTCACTCTCACACACTGACAGGACACTAGCCAGATGGATACTGATGGATGCTGGTAGGCAGAGGCAGAACTTTTATCCCTTTATTTTCCTCCCCAGAAACTCAGCCCAGCCACATAGTTTTGTAGCGAAGCACAGGTATATCGAGCTAGTTTAATAATAAATAACAAATAACACCGGTGACCTTTTGGCAGTTCATCCCTGGTGCCTGATGGATGGGCCGCGGGTGGTGGTCCTCCTCCTGAAACCACCGCACAGCTCCTATGTCCCAGCACGAGGGGTGGGGAGGGAGGGGGCCCCCGCCAGTCCTTAACCGGCCTTCTCTTTTGCCCTACCTGCAGGGACCTGCGAAGCCCTTTGGAGAGCCTGGAGCTGGCCTTTTGCTACCTGCTGCCCAACGACTTCGCCTACCTCTCCCAAAGCCTCCACACCTCGGCCCTGAAGAAGCTTGACCTGAGCGGCAACAACCTGTCCGACAGCCTCCTCCAGCCTCTGCAGGGCCTGCTGACCGAGGCCGCCTCCTCTTTGCTCCACCTGGACATCATGGAGTGCCGGCTGATGGACAGCCACCTGAACCTGCTCCTGCCCGCCCTCTGCCGCTGCACCCGCCTCCGCTACCTGGGCGTCTTCGGCAACCCCATCTCTGCCAAGGGGGTGAAGAACCTGCTCCACAAGACGGTGGGCCTCTTGGACTTGCGGCTGGTCATCTACCCCTACCCCGTGGACTGCTACGGGGACGACCTGCCCTGGCCCCCCACCTCTTCCAACCTGCTCAACGGTTCGGTGGATGAGGAGAAGTTCTCCCGGGTCAGCAACGAACTCCAGCAGATGCTGCTGAGCGCCAACCGGGGAGACGCCATCTGGACCACGAACCTCTGTCGCCACAACAGCCTCGACTATTTCAGTTTATAGCCCCGTTGGGCGTTGGTACTCTTCCGCACCTAAATCTGGAATAAAGCCCCACCCCCCTCCCTTCTTCTTCTTCCTCTCTTGTCGGTGATCTGAGCCCACCTGGCAGTCCCGGTGGGTGTAAAGCCAGAAGCCACGCCCGGCTTAACCCCGCCAGCAGCCGATGGAAGAGCCTGCAGGGAGGTTTTCCCGAAGTCCGGAAACACGCTCTGCCAATTGTGCTGGGCCCTCAAGGTTGCCAGTGAACGGGAGCCACCTGGCAGGGATGGGTGGAAGGGGGCACACAGCTGGGGTGGGGTGGGGGGGCTTCTGCTGTCTTTCCATCCCTGCTGGAGGTAGATGCCAGCCCAGGATGTCTGTCCCAACCATGTTTCCCCCCCCCCCCCCCCCCCATTGCAGACCATTTCCAGTGCATGTAGGAAGGGGGGGGGGGGGGGTCATGTTCCCTGTTGTTTGATTATTATTATTTTTTACTTCTATACATCAGAAAGTAGCGTTGTGTTGTTGTGGGGTCTGAGATAAGAGAGCGCAGGTGGGCGTTTTTTCACCTGTCGTTCGCCCTCTCGCGTTGTCGGATAAGGTGGGAGGAGGCAAGTTTTGGATCTCGAGTTTAGAGGGAAACCTCGTTTTACGATGGGTTGGCGGGAGGGGGGAAGATGACGACACAACAGCTTTTATGTTGAAATAAAAAAAACGATGCCTCTCAGAGCAAAGTACTAGTATCTGTCATTGACTTGTGGGAACGGCTGGAATCTGCCTGCGACACGAGCCGTCTCCAAGGAGCGTCTGGAATTAAGTTCAGGTTGAAGTTGAATTAGAGATGAGTAGACAACATTTAAAATTTAGAGCAGCGTGGCGCAGTACTGCAAGGTAACTCACTGTTTACTCCAGGGTGTTCAGTTCTGACCAGCACATGGTTGACTCAGCCTTCCGTCCTTCCAAGGTGGGTAAAATGAGAACCCAGATTGTTGGAGGAAAGAGGCTGACTCTGGAAACTGCTTAGAGGGCTGTAAAGGCACTCTGAAGCGGTATATAAGTCTGAGCGCTATTGCTATATTAATAGGATGGTTGTCCCAAAGGTGCCTTTTCCAAACGGCAACTGGACTTTAGTTTTTTTTTTCTCCTTTGAAAACATTTCAGAGAAACGATGAGAAGGAAAGCATTTTCAGAGAAAAAAGCCAAGACTTATTTTATTGCAACACTGGGAATTTTTCATTCCCAGCCAGAATTAATCACAAAGAGTCCCCCAAGATAAGCACCCACCTTTCAGTTCTGTGAAGTGCTGCCAATAACAGAAGCATCCAATGAAGTAGAAAAGAAACCAACCGAAGTACAAGAGCTTCAAGAATGACTGAACCGATCGAACTACTTTGCTTCCTGCAAAGGTTTCATCATCTTGGCCTGACTTTTTTTTTTTTTAAACATTTTATTAGTTTTACGAAACAATACACAAACAATCAAGGCATAATAACATAAAAAATCTTTTCTAAAAAAACCAATAGAACATACAAAATAGTTCCAAATTGTAATATATATATTTACATTATCTGTTCAACTTCGTATCTTATCCCAACTTCTCCTTTTCATTCTATAATCCAAATTATATTTCTTGCTAATTAAAATTTAATTGCCTTTCAAATCAAATCGCCCCTTTTGTTTCAGCTGCCCTCACCTTCCAGCAGCTCTGCACACTGGGAACAGGCTCCCTTGGGTCCTCTGCCTCGCTGCTGCCAGACTCCAAAGGCAGCACCTCACTCCCACCTGGTCCTGGCCCCATCCCTGCATCGGACGCAGGACCCTCCAGATTCCCTGGCTGGTCCCCGTTCTGTTCGATTCCGCTGCCGCCTGCACCGGCTGCTGGCAAACCACAACACTCCCTGCTCCGACGACAGCACCTCACACGAGCCATTGAATGGCTCTGGGTTCCCCAGGCCCGCTGGCAAAACCAGGTCTTCAGTGCCTTCCGGAAGAGTGTCAGAGTGGAGGCCATTTCTAATCTCTGGGGGGATGATTTTACAGAGGGAGCCACCACGTAGAAGGCCCTTCTTCTGGGTCCCACCAGGGGTATCTCCCTCAGGGATGGGAGCCACAACATTCCTTTGGGGCTCAATTGTGGTCGTATGTGGAGGACTACCTGGGATTTTCCCCCCCTCTTTCCTGGTATAGCAGTCTGCGTGAGGGAGCCGATCGAAATTAAGGATTGTCGTGAGGACGGCACTAAATTGAGGGTGGTCTCTGAATCCTCAAGACGAGTCTTCAAACTTGACAGCTTTAAGACTTGTGGATGTGATGACCCAAAGGGGTGTGGCCCAAAGGCAACCCAGTCAGATAAGCAAGGAGAGTCCCTTTATTGTCTCCAACTTTGCCCCCAATGTCCAGGTTACCTTCGGCTGGAGAAAAAACTCTCCCAGGAACAGCCTTTGAGTGGAGGAAATTCAGTCCAAAATATGAGCAACACAAACTGTAACTTAAAGTCCAAACAAGCCAAACTGAAGTAATTAGTTTGGCAGGGCAGGAGCGAGAATGTTAGACTTGAAGGCACGGCAAAACTCACACGGTTCAGAAGGCGCCAGGAACACAGATAAGCCACGACAACACAGGTTACAGTCACGTTTGATCCCAGCAGCTGCCGCATTCAGCCTGCATTTCTTTTAAACTCTCATTCTCAGGTGTGGCTAATGAAGGGAATCGGGACCCTTTCCTCCCCTGTAAGCCATGCAACCCACGTTGCTCCCTTCTCTGTTCCTCCCTTCGTGCCCTAGGATGAAGAGGGGATGGGCCTGGGTCTTCCTCCGAACTCCCTCTCCCTTGCTCTCCCTCTCCCCTGCTCTGCCCAGCCGGACTGCCCAGCTGGAGTGCAGAGAAGAGCAACCAGGATGATGAGGGGACTGGAGACTAACGGTTGCAGGAACTGGGCTTGGCTGGTCTAGGGAAGAGAAGGATCAGGGGAGACAGGAGAGCCGCCTTCCAATATTTGAGGGGCTGCCACAGAGAGGAGGAGGGAAGGGGGTCAAGCTGTTCTCCAAAGCACCTGAAGGCCAGACAAGGAACAATGGGTGGAAACTAATCAAGGAGAGAAGCGATCTGGAACTGAGGAGGAATTTCCTGACAGCGAGGACAATTCACTAGTGGAACTCCTTGCCTCCAGAAGTTATGGGTGCTTCAACCCTGGAGGTTTGTATGAAGAGATTAGATAACCATTGCACACACACAAAAACCAGTATGTACATATGTATGTATGCGCGCGTGTGTGTGTGGATAGATAGATAGATAGATAGATAGATAGATAGATAGATAGATAGAT